TTTACTTCCGCATCTGAAAATGGGCGTGGCGGGCGTGACGTAACTAGCGGGAGAGCGCCAGCCGCCAGTGGCTGATTCAAACCGCAAAACAATGGATCGCGGTGATATTTCAGACGCTGAAGAAATTGTTCATTATATTACTCGTATGACGGACCACAGCCGTACAATTATGAGCCTGCTATGCTGCCAAGAGATCAGGAACAGGCCAGGATTAATGTTAGACAGAACGGTCAGAGGAGACAAATTGAGTTGTGGTGTGAGGAGAACCGGTGGTGGAGAACAGGAAGGTGTCTTGGTGAGAGAGAACAGTGTTAGCTTAGATAAATTCACAATCGCTAACGATATACACTGTGCTCATAATATTGATTATTACAATCATATATTAGTTAGCAAAGCTTTTATTGGTCAGTCTAGGATTATTGGAAAGTACCAAAACAGAAACTAATAGGCTTTTATCAGGCGTATGTCATGCTCCTATCCGACTAACGTTACATGATAACTTAAACAGTTTCTCGTCAAGAGAGATATATATTTTTTCCTGATAGACGTTTTTGTTCCATAGGTGCTTGTGTGGGAAATGCGAGGCAATGTTCTCAGCTGAGGAAAGTCAGTGCTGCAGGGAGGTGGATGCATACTGGGCTTTAGTGGAAAATGTCACCCCCAGACTTGATGTGCAAGTGGTCTGACTCTGCACCCAGGCTTTGAGGCTTGCTGTTTTGGAACCCATATGTGCTACAGATAGCCTATATGCACTTCAGACAGGACCATGGACCTCTCAGGCAGCAGACATGAGTATGTTTAGGGTAGATGTACTATTAAATGTATAAAAAGTAACTGTACTTGAGTATTTTTTTTATTGTACTAAAAACATACTCAAGTACATTTTTTAATACATATTTTTCACCTGGGTTATAACATTAACAAACTTAAAGATTCGAATATTTAAACAATCTATGATACAAGTATTTTTTTTTTTTCAATTACAAGTTGCCTCTATTTAGGGCATGACTACCATTGGTATAAGATGATCAATATTGATTTTTTGTCCATATCTTCAGGCAATACCGCTACACTGCATACAGGCAGGTTGTCCGCTGGGCCTATGGGATTCTGGGCAGGCACATCAGAAGCCTTTACCTGCATGTGTTGTGTCAGCATTAGAGGGCAGTTTCCAGAGGAAGGAGGACTTTATAAAGGTTTTGAATGGCCCAATTTTGTTGACAATCAATAGAAAATAAACAATCACAAATTGTCTCTATAAAACTTTTTTATTATCATATATACAATTTAATAATTTAATAATCTCTCAGGTATCATACTAAGGTGTAATTAACGTGTTAAATCGTGAATGCTGTGATAGATACACGCCAACAGCCTCATCCTTGTTGATCCTCTGGAGGGATCTGGAAAGGGGAGCAGGTGTAGAGGAAGACAAAACTGCACTGCGTTCTCGTAGAGCCTGTGGTGACCTAGAGTATTCCTCTCTCAGAGACTCCATGAGGGCTGATGCATATGCTAGGAGAAATATATTCACATTCATTTGCCAACTCGTGGTCTGACTTAATATTTAGGAACTAGGGGTGTAACGATTATCAAAACTTACAGTACGGTTTTTCCATGGTTTAGAAAGCTAAAATTTATTTTTTTGTTTTTTAGTTGTTGTTGTTGTTTTTTTTAAAACTGAATTCGTTGTGTACACATAAGACATGAGGTCCATTGTGCGGGGCTGGTGTAGCAGGGGGCGGGGCGTGTTCGGAATTCCATGAGATTATCGCGATTCGAATTGTGGGTTCTGTATCACGGTCTTTCGGTTTGGTTCGAATATCGTTACACCCTTATTAGGAACTGACTGAAACTGCCCACCATATGATGGCTTTTCCTTTACAGGACGGACTACCCAGCCACCTTTGCGGAACCTTGGGTAGCGAACCGCATAACATGCCTCACCATCACTGGTTCGAGCTACCTCTCTGCTGCCATTGTGGTTGAAATGCAGGGCTGCCAAGAGAAGTCTGTAGAAAAAGTGTAATTTGTACCCATTACAAGTTATGCATATGTGAATAAACCCAGAAGTAAAAACAACACATATATATAAAAAAACATAAAAGTATTGCTTACTAACACATTTAAAGAAAGTTGGGCTGCTGTGTTAGACTGCATTAGTTTCAGAAAGTACTCATTCTTTCACATCACACACTTACCTGCTGTGCATCCCAAGGAAGGAGAACCCAGTGTGCTTCGGTGCAAAGTGCAGGATCAGGGAGTGAAATGCCTCCAGTGAAAAAGTCTGATGCTGTGGGGACAACTGCCGAACATCCTTTACCAGCGCTGTTCTAGTAGCTACACTCTCCAGTTTAACTGCTACAGTTGATCCTGCATAAACACACATAAACGCACATCTTGTTATTAAGATGAGTCATGATTGGACGATCACAATTAGGTGGGATTTGTATCACATATTGTTCATGTTTTTTTTTTTGTTTTTTTTTTGGCTCTTAAAATGATTATTTGGTGCGCTAACACTGAATAGTATGAGAATCAAGAGTATGTGAGAAATATCCAGATGCATTCAAAACATTTGTTAAAAAAAGCATGTTAAAAATCCTGTTTCGAAACAAAAGCACCTCTCGTTCATATTATCTTCATTGTGTTATTAGTTAATCCGGTTTATTTTGTAACGCGGCTAGCTTGAGAGTTGCTACGACATCTCAGAAATGGCAAACCCTTATTTGGAAAAACAAGCACAATGAACATTCACTATACATTTTCAGCCACATAATAAACAGTATTTTGTACCTGGTTCCAGCCACTCCTTGTTCCTTGCTTCACCCTCCAGAGGTGGATGTGCACAGCAAGGAAATGTAGCAGTGCCATGTTCGTGGATGTCCTGAACATGGTTGACCATGCTTCTCCACTTGGCCTCCATCACATCTGCATCTCCATTAGGGGTGGAAGCTGCAGTCCAGTAGAGATGGTTAATAATAGCTGGCCTCCACAGCTTCAGATCTTCACACTCCCTCTCCTTTGCAGCAGCATCCAATGCTTTCCCTAGGCCTGTTTTAGAACAGAAACACAAAATATTAAAAAGGAAAATGTCATTATAGACAATCTAAACAAAACTACTTTCTTTAAGCAACATACTTTTGCCAATATGCCAAATATCAAAGAAATGGCTTGTTCCTTTGGGACACAACTCCTCCCGTACCCACTTGGCAACCTGACATTTTGAAAAAGAACATTTGATTTTAGTTGTAAATATAGTCAGCAGGAATATTTTAGATGTGTACATGTGCGTTTCTTTACCTGCCGATTTCTGTCTGTGATGAGGGCAGACACTTGCATATGTTGCTGAGTCAGAAAGTTTATGCTGCGCTTTAGGCCCTCTAACTCACACCAGGTGCTACTTGGGACCTCGGAGCTCTGTAAATAAAAACAAAAAACAAAAACAAAAAACATTTGGTCATCTCACTGTGTAACATTAGACAGGTGATAAGTGTGTTTGATAACAAACTTACCTGGACAAGTTGAAGATCTAAAACCTTATTGATCCTGTCCTCAATCAAAGAGTATGTGCCATATTTTGCACAATGGCCAGGTGAATCTGACCTATGAATGTCAAAAACAGTTTAATTTATGGTTAAGCACTAAAACTAATACATTAAACTCGATTATCCAGTTTAGACTTGTTTTCTATTTTAATGATATAAACTGAAGTGTGCTACCTGCAGTCACCAGACAGGATCAGTCCCCCCTCATCTCTTTCAGATCTCTGATGATCGCTGCCTGTTCATTCTGCCACGCCTGCACGATGGTTGGAATCGTGTAAAAGCGCTGATGGCGGAAGAAGGTGCTGACACTGATGCTCTGAAGCCCAAACAGCTTCAACATACGGATGGTCTGGGTAGCCATGCAACCTGAAAAGTGGATGGCCCCACTCAGTAATAGGTTGCAGGCCGGCATATTTCGATGCAGCATTGGCTGATTCTGCCAAAAACGCTGATACCCACATGCTGCACAGACCTAAGAGATGTGAAAGGCAGAAAATGACTATACCATACAAATAACTTAGTGTAATAATTAAAGCAAAATAAACAAGTTATGTTACAATTTAATTTTCTACCAGAAATCACAAATAGCTTCTTACTTGCTTTATTTTTACAAAAGTTCCCTCCTGCTTCTCAACATTGCCTTGGGTTTCCCCAGAACAGGCTGGGCAAATGGTAAAGAGAGACATCAGCTGGCTTTGGCACACAATGAACTTGTCAGCAGCACTGAAAAAAAAAAAAAAAAAAAAACATTATTTTTGACTTGACACAATATGATCATAGAAAATCTCAAATTAAAAAAAAAAAAAAAAGTCTTACTTGAGGTCAGGGTGAGATTCCTGCTGTGGTTCCTCATCAGATGAATCACTTCTCATTTCCCCCTCTGGGAACCATGGCATATCACCAGGTTCGTCCATGAAAACAGAGGATTCATCATCACTGTGCACAGGACTGGGCAGTGGAGTTGATGTTGGTTTCTTAAACATTTCTGTCTGAGTCCCCACACTGACCATCTTGGGTTGTGCCTGGACAGCTAAAATCAAAATATGTCCACTGTCATACAATTGTCATACAAACAGCATGTCACTGCTTAGGTACCTGCATCATAAAATATTTTACTAATTATTTGCTCTCATACATTATGTAAACAGATGTTGCCATGTACAATTAATTCTAGATATGAGTAATGTTAATCCACCTGATGAACGATGTGAAGGTCTGAGGTCACACTGTGAGCCACAGTGAAGCACAGATGATTGAGGGGCCAGTGGAGAGAAAGGCTCTTGCGCTGGGTCAGAAACAAGCACCGCAGCACTGGCTGAAGATGCATCTCCCCCTTCATCACATGGATTTTCTGATAAAACCTTATAAAAAAACATGACAATAAATTACGATTTCGCTGTTTTAGCTAACTAGCATTCGTTATTATGCCTTAATACAAGCTATCTGCGGTACTTTACAACAACTTGTTCAGGTCACGTTTCTTCTCATTACAGTATTTAAATAATTATGTTGACTGATTTGTTAGTTAGTAATTGTTTTTTAAAAAAACGACTTACGGTGCACAGTTCACGTTTTCGTCGAGCTGCATCTCTGACGGATCCGTGACCATCATGTCTCCCGCCGGCGGGAGAACCCGCTGAAGATGCGGTGTGCACTGAAGGAACCGCGCCAGCTTTGAGTCTCACTTGGCTCTTGCTTCGGTATCCCATGTTTAATTCCATCAAATCGCCCGGACGATAATCCTCCGATCTAAAGTGAACGCTACAGACGACCGCGTTTTTAGAAGCCGATGCGGAAGAAAAATCCCGTCTCTTCACCTGCACAAACCTCACCCAGGCACGAAAGACAGCACCGTCCTTCTTCTTGTCAGGAAATCTGTGGACTCGATGTCCTGACAGGCCGGAGTTTTTGCAACCTCCACAAACACAATAATTTACCATGACGATGATAAATTAAAATACAATAACTACCGAAAACAAACTTACTTACGACCGCTCTCACTGAATACCAACCTACTCTGCACTGAACCGAGGGCGGGTGGCGGCTCCCTAGCATGACGTAAAATGACGCGCTGTTGAAAAAAAAGCCGTTTTTACAAGCAGTCCAAGAAACGCTCACTTTATCTACTAAATTAGTGCCCTTATGTCGTTTTAAAACGTTTTAAATCCTGCATTTACTTTTCATATGGTATTTTCATACAAGCTTATATATTAATTTCGATTTTTTTTTTACCTGCAATATGCTCTTTAAACTGTTGTTTCCTATCATTAAGTCATACAACAGAGTTGAAACGTTGAGCCTAACCATCTTAATCTGACAGCGAAAAAACATGAAATATTGGTAGGAAAAGATCTTCTTCTTCTGGCTTTCCGGCAGACTAGATGCCTTACGGCATATTGCTGCCTCATATTGTTCAGTCTCTGTATCGTTTTATGGCACCATCATTCTCAGAGGGCTAATCCTGTTGCAGATATAAAGTCCATGACTGCTTCCACTATCCTCGATTGGTTCTCATGAGGATTCAAAATATCTCTCAGTGTCACTGCTTGTAATCCATCTCCTGATATCACAGAATAAAGTTGTTCTCTTTGCCTTTTATACTGTTGACATTCCATAAACACATGATTAACAGTCTGTTGTTGTTTGCAGGTCCTACAGAGTCCATCCTCATGTTTGCCCATCTTCGCTAGATCCCATGCAAGTCCACAGTGTCCCAGCCTTAGTCCTGTCATAATTACAGATTGTCTTCTGAATTTACCCAAGTAACACTGCTCTGTCTTTACTTTGTTTTATACCATGGTCTGGGTGAATACTCGATTCTGATTGGCTGCAGGGTGTCCGTTAAAAAGTGATAGAGGACACCTAGTAAAGTAGTTCTGGTGAAACTGCCTGTTTACCATTCGAAATTAATAAATAAATGCGCTGCCTACAACGGCTGTGAGTAACCATAGCAACAGGCAGTCACATGCTCTATCATCTACAATGAGCGACTTCGTGCTATTTCTTTTAACATTTATGGAGAATATGGCAACTTTGACGACTGCTATGCTGCTGAAGAAAGAAAAAATGTAAATAAATTACACCGCTGCTGCGCTGCTCCATTGAACTCTATTGGTCATAGTTGGATAACGATGCTTTCGGGAAACGCACCCCTGAATGAGACCCTGCGGGAGTTTTACGCAGCTGTCCAGACAACCAAGGCAGGAGAAGGCTGAACGTTACAGCGTTTCAAGCCTAAGGAGCCTGAGGCAAATGACCCTCTCTTTGATCTGATTAATTTATTGCCCTCTATAACGTTAAGCGCAAATCGCTGGAGCTCAGAGCTAATTGTTTTTTTATTGTTGTTTGATTAATTGTTTTATGTGTAATAAAAAAAAACTATGCCTACCTTTGTGTTTCATGAAAAAAAAAAATGCATTTGTGAACCTGAAGGGATACGAGCTAAGCGGACTATAAATATCTCCGGTTGCTAGATAAACAGTCAGTCAAGTTATTATTTGTAAAAACTAGATTTAGCCTAATTAAAATATAAACTAATGTTTTATTTGGCAAGTGACCATGGTATAAGCGGGTTAATGCCCTTCGAGGTGTCCATTGTCAGGTTTTAATGGACTTCGGCGGAGGCAACCGTCCTCCGCTGCGCGTCGGCCGGTTTACGCCTCGCCGTCGTCCATTAAAACCTGACAATGGACACCTCGTCGGGCATTAACCCTTACTTGTTTTGCATAGTAATGCGCCGACCCTTTGTTTCCTTTTCCCACTGCCTCTGCCATACTACTGTAGTGTTTCCCTTAATGACAGATTTACATTCAGCGAACCCAATACAAACTGCTAAATCAATATCTCTTTTCAGAGTCATTTTGGCTGCCTTGTCTGCCACCTCATTCCCTTCCACCCCAACATGTACAGGGACCCAGAGAAATCCCACTGACCCTCCAGCTTGTTCGATTATATACAACAGAACCATCAGCTCCATAAACAGATCTGGCCGAGCTCCCATATTACTTACATATTATTATTATCCCAGAGTTTTTAACACTGAAGCCGAATCTGAGCATATTACTGCTCTCCTTGATTGAACTTCCTCTACCCACTTTAGTGCCCATATAATAGCTAGAAGTTCTGTTGTATAGACCAATACCCCCTCAGACAGTCGCTTAAAGGGTACATATCATGCTTTTAAATCATTCATTTTTACATATAAATCATACCATTGTGGTCTATATAGAACATAACTGCAATGCTTGGGTCTGAATTCCTCATTATTATAGCTCCACAAGCCCCTTTTCTGATGTGCATTTTCATACATAATTAATTATTATTTTTTATATATGTATATTTTAGTTAAAGTAGACCAACATATGATTAAATTAGCAGCAACATTTTGGTATTAATTGCACGTTTTATTTGTTTGATATTCAATGAAAATGTAATGATGGTTAGTGAGGACATGCAAAAATGCTTGTTGTCTACTACTTAGGCAACCCATTATCTTCAAAAAAAATTAAAGCAATTGTGTTGCATTGATATGCAAAGGCATCTGGTTATATTAATTGACAGCTTTAAAATGCATTTTGTGATGTCTTTCAATTGAAAATTTTTGAAGCAATTTTGGGGGACTTGGGGCAATTTTGGGGCACCCAATTCAGAGAATCACCCATATATATATATATGTGTGTGTGTGTGTGTGTGTGTGTGTGTGTGTGTGTGTGTGTGTGTGTGTGTGTGTGTGTGTGTGGTTATCAGGGTTTTCTTTTTTTGACCTGAAGTATGTAAAGCCCTGATTTTTCACACTCCTGTACAATAGGTGGCGGTATGCACCTATAAATGCTGGTTTGCGATCCGCCATTAAACTAAAAGAAGAAGAAGATCCTTATTGGGATGTTTTGTGTTGCTCTGGTGAACATCTCTGAGCGTTTCTTCCTGTGGTTTTGTCTTCCCGTGGATTACTCTTGGACTGTTTATTCTCTTCTTGATTGTTTGCTGTCGGTCCTGGACTGTTTGCTATTGTGGACTGATTTATGTAAGTTTGCTGCCTGACTTTATGCCTGTTTTCGGATTACAAGTTTCTTTCTCTCTACTGTTGTGTTTGCTGGTGGTCGACCCTGATTGTACGAGCCAAAATTACAATAAAGCTGCAGATGATGAATACTCACTTTGCTGAAGCCTCGTTACAATTAAGTGACATTTTGAGTTTATATTATGGAAGTGCCATAAAACCGGAATAAGGTTATGCGTTTTTTTCTTGCCAACTGTGAAAAAATGTATTTTTGGAGTGTCATTAACGCGCGTTTAAAAGAAATATCCACATATCATTTTGGTGGATTAAGTCTGGACATTTCCTATATGGGTATAGCTTTCATTTTGATGTTACTTTATGTTTTTAGCCATATCTGTGACCTGTGTATTATGTTAATTGCAGTTATTGTTAGTGAGTATGGTAATAATGTGTCTAATGCGTCGTTCAGCCTGAAAGACAGTGAATCTGAAGGTGTGTGTGTGTGTGTGTGTGTGTTTATTGTCTTTAGGGCTGCATGATATTAGGAAAAAATATTTTTTTCTGCGATATTGCGATGCTAAAACAATTTCACTAGATGACTTGAATAGCTCTTTTTGGAAAGAATGAATTATTCTAGAATGACTGGGGTGATTTTGTAGAGAAGTAAATTTGCATAGAAAGTAATAAACAAATAACCAGCAAACATAAATACAATAGAGCTGTATTCAGACATAATCTATCAAGTAAAATAACTCTGCATAGGCCTATAGTCTTCACTGAAGACATTAAATATAATTATTTAATTAAAGTTAAAGCAGTAAAAGTAATTTTCTCTTGTTGTTTGATTGACATTGGTGAAAAACAGAGTATATTATAATGTTTATTATTAAGACTAATGCACTAATCCAATCTAATGAATTATATGCATCCATTTTCTTTCTCAATTGTTCACAACACTCCGGGTTTTTCCTGGGTTTAAATTGTTCTTCGGTGGGGGCCGACGGACACTGTCATCCTTTCTTACCCTTTTACCACTGGATTTTTACAGCTTTGTGAGATGAATCTTTGCTTGACCAAATCATTATTTTGGTAGGCTATATAATGGAATACATTTCAAAAAGTGGAATAAAAAAGGATTATTAAAAAGTTTATTTTAAATAAGTCTAATTTTGGACCAATACAATATCAGCTAGCTAACAACAACTTGCTTTGCACTTTTTTTTTTTTTTCTTGGTTTCACTCCAGCCTAAACAAAATTTGTTTTTGGTAATTGTTTTACACATTGTCATAACCTGAAAATACCTGAGGGATTATGGGAGTGCTGGTTGGCAGAGACAGGCTAAATGCATATTACTTGCACAGATATTGTTCAATAAAAAGAAACATGAATTATACTTATTTAATACTCAATTCTTTGTATCGATTGCAAAAATTAACTAGAGTAATCACAAATTTTATTGCACAACACTGTTTGTAAGTAATCAGCAATATTTTAACATTCATACTAGAGGTCGACCGATAGTGGATTTTACTGATATTTTGGTTTGCCCAATGCCCATACATGGCGATAAGATAACAGGTTATTCAACTGATATTTTTTTTAGTGGATAATGGTATTAAAAACAGACAAAACACTGTAAAACAGTGCTGAGCAGAAATGTGTTAAATGAAATAAATAAATGAATGAGAAGTTCTACAGAATTAATTCTA